AAAAAAAAAAAAAAAAAAAAAAAAAAAAAATACAAATAGGTATTCTGTAATTACGGCTTTATTGATTCATCGCGCCTTACAATATGAAAGAGCTCGGCCAACTTTCATCAAGATGTGTATGCAAAATTGCGAACACTCTTAGATTCGAAACGATAAAAAGAAAAAAACCGCTCCTTGGTCGTCCTCGAGTAAATTGAGACAAGCGTTTGCTAGAATTGTTCGAACTGCAGCACAGAAGAACGGCATATAACTGTATTGCATTCTTGTTGAGTATAAGAATATGCAAAAGAGGCATGCAAGAATATATATTTGCGTCAATTTTATGTATAAAAATGACATTTATCAGTTCTTTATATAAATATATATATGTATATAATGTATGTTTGCATATATATATATAAATATATACAGACATAATTCTAAAAAAAATGGGATATTCTATTAGGACAATGCTGTCCATCAAAATTGATGATCTATTTAGCGCTTCTTTAACATTGTTATTAATAGACAAAGAAGCTAGAAGATTCTAATGGAAAGAGTAGTTACGCATGTTAATATGTAGTTGTTATTTAATCATGTTAAAGCCTGTGCTATAACAAAAGAAAAATAGAAAAAAACCTAATTTTTAAGTTTTATAGCTTTAATTTAGACAGCATTGTTTTAGTAGATAGAATATTCTTGGTGAATAAAAAAAGTGATCGCTTATCACATTATTAACAGATTCACTGCTACCTTATTTTGATAATTTATCACTGTACTAAACTGTAAAAAAGTACATTTAAAGAGAATAACGACAGTGTACACTTATCGCAATGAACTTGGCAGTGAATGTGTTAAGATGACAAGTAATCTAGTCGAAATTATTCTGTCGTTAATTATGACCCTTGATGAGGGTATAAAAATATATTGAAACAAATATCTTTTTTATGGTATAACAATATTGGAATATTCTTCAAACATTGTTGTACTTAACAAAAAAATATTTTCAATTATTCAAATATTAATTTTTAAAATCCTGACGCAAGAAAAAAGAAAAATCAAGATCTCTAGTGTTTTTGTATTGAATAATGTTTAGACTCTACATGAAAATGTTATTTCAAAACGAATATTTTAGGAAAACGAAAGACCAGTATTAACAGTACAACTAGAAACAAGATTATGTGAATACTTTGTCATCGTTTTGCTTTCTGTGTTGTTCTCCGTCTTTGAAATAATTAAGTAAATGCAGAAAATATCTATTGTTGTCTAATCATGTAAGCCGTTTTACTGCAGAATTATTAATTTTTACGACCAAAGAGAGGTAACGCGAAAATGGCTTATTTTTTTTTCTTTGACCATGACACGATTTTCAAAAGCGGAAAGTATATCAATAGTTTATATGGGATGTGAATATTTTAATGCAATTTTCAGTGAGTGATAGAAAACAAGTGACGTTTGTTAAAAAGTACCTTAGAGTTAATTATTGTATGAGTCGCTTCTGTTCAAACAGAATTTATTGTTTTTCCGGTGTAGAAAGAAGAAAAAGAGCATACACAAATTATTTATATGCAGCGCGCAAGGCGAACAATTTAAAAAAAGGCGTAAATAATGTTAAATAATATTTCTGTATTCAAATTCTCTTCTGTAGGTTTCATTAAAGTGCATTTCTTGTATGTTACACAGTATTATGGTAGAATATAAGAATAAATACTGCAATAATACATTGTTTGTTTCTTTATAATATTTCATTTTATTTTACTTAAATGTTCTTATATTGTAATATGTATTGTATATATTAATATTATATATAATTCTATTAGCAACATAAGCTAATTTAGAATATTATAATGTTATAAATTTTTTCATAAATATCAAATATCAAATAATCAAAAATGATCATATCTATATGATATCAAATAATCAAAAAATCGTAAAATTTTTTATTATAATAAGTAAATATCATTTTTTACTACATAAGTAAATATACAAACTATTTTAAAAACAATAACAATCGTTTGCAATTGAAGAAAAACTAATATATAAAGAATTATAAAAAAATTTTTTAATTTCGCGAAAATTCATCATATATGCTGTAAAAGATTAAGTACATTTAAAATCTGTTCCGTTATTCTTTTCTTTCTATTACAAATATATTTTATTATAAAATCATAAATAACATTGTAATATTATGATATTAATTTATGAAAGTAACAAGATTCCTTATACTTGCTTTTCCATGTTTACTTGTCATAATAACGGGACCATACATCCATTTTCTATTGTTTTCGAAATTTGTATCCTAAATTATAATTTTGGGATTTCAGAAATTATGAAACATACAAAATACATTCTAAAAACATTTTTTTTCTAAATTGTTCACTTTATTTCTAAATATTTTAAGTAATTTTAATGCATTTAAAATTAAAGTTGCATAATTTTGATACTTATTTTATTGTTATATGTTATTTTCT